ACATGGAAATATGCAATCCTACCTATGTGTGTGTGTGTGTGCGTCTGTGGGGCCAATCAATCAATCAATCAATCAATCAATCAACGAAAAAAAAAGAAAAAAGCGCTGTTTTTTTTGTTTTTTTTTTGAAATACCTTCACTCACCCAAACCCCCCCACCTAAAAAAAAATAAATTTAAAATTGTTTTTGCTTGAGGGGGTGGGGCTGGGGTTGCGCCGCTCCATGGCGCTTCCAGAATCCCCAACCCCCCTCCCCACCGGCCGCCACGCATCCGCGAAGTCGCGTGGCCGCGCGGACGCGTCCGCGGGGTCGCGGACTTGGCCGCGCTTGTCCGCCGCCGAGGGGGATTCGTAGCCTGACGCCCTCCATATAATCCGTGATTGAAGGAGGGCTCCGCCCAATGAGATACTTGCACAACAACAAGCAAAGTACAAAAATTCTTCTATCCAGTGGGCCTATGGCCGACCCCACTCTCTTTTGGGGTTGGCCATACCCCCAACAAATTGAAAAGATTTTGGCGGAAAGCTTCCTTTGCACCGGCAAGCCCAGTGTTAAGGAGAGGAGGAGGGGAACGAAGATCTCCTTACTTTTTCGGGTAATATATGTAAAATACTGACCGTGGGATCACGAGCACTGCACGACAGAATTTGAGTCACTCAACTGCCACACAAACTCTTTTCTATCCTATCACGTTGCTAGTGGGACCATGCTCCAGGGTGTTGTAGAGGCCAGTCAGTGTGTGCACAGTGATCACCTGGAACTGTGAATTGTGGGTGTCCTGGAATATGAGACCACCTCCCAACCCATCCTCACGTCAATACTCCTAGCGCACCCCCTATCCCACTATTCTACCTCAGTGTGACCAGCACTCAGGACCATTGCCCTACCAACGGGCATACAACTTGGACCGAATAGTAGTGATAGGCACCAGGGCTGATAAAAGAGCCGCTTTCAAACCCGACGCAAGTAAGTGTGTGTATGTGTGTGTGTGTGTGTGTGTGTGTGTGTGTGTATGTGTATATGTGTGTGTGTGTGTGTTGTGTGTGATTGGGTGGGGGTGGGGAGGGCGACCCATCCCCCACCAATCAATCAACCAATCAATCAATCAATCAATAAATAAAATAAAATAAAAATCAATGTGTTTTGAGTCTGGTTAGGTTTTTTATTTTGATTTTTATTTTAAATAATTTAAATGTTCAATAAAATAAAATAAAAATATAGGGATGTAGAGCGCAAACAAATCTACACCCCCATATATATAAATATATATATATATATATATATATCATCACAAATAGAACTGCCCGGTAAACCGTAGGCAGAGAGAGAGAAGAGGACAACAAACGAGGGGCTGTGACAAACTGTTTCGTCGGAGTTTCACCGACTCATCATATATATATATATATAGTTTTTTTATTATTTTTTGCCTGCGAAAAAAACATTCGCGGACCGCATTGTAGCTCGTTGTAACGTGGTATAGCGAGGCGTTGTAGCGGGGGTTTAGCGACCGTTGAACCTTTCAACGGGAAACCCTCGTTGAATCGAAAATAAGACACACAAGTGATAATAACCAGAACTGGATCGAGAGGCTGACAGGTTGCCAACATGAATGTCCATCCAGCACCAAATGCTGGAGGAGCCCCCGCCCCTCGAGCACGTGGACTAACGACCCCACCTGATCTATACCTCTTTGACCCTGCACATCACCTCGCCGGAGTCTGGCTAGCCACGCTGAGTGCACAATAGTACGAGAATGACGAGGCCAGGATCAACATCCCGGCTAGACTGGGAGGGGATGCACATTGCACACCGTTGGTTTACCACTTATGTATGGGTCGATCTCCCGACCTTTGAAAGGGATTTCCTAAACCGGTTCGATTACATCCACTCGAGTCCAGAAACCCCTCAAATCCGTCGCCGAATACCGAAGCAGGTTCTATAGGTTGTTTGTTAAGTTAGAACGGGGCGAAAATGTCGGGAGGGATTTGTTTATTGATGGGCTCCGAAGTCGTACGATGAGGGTCAAACTGCGAAAGCATTTCTCCCTCATCAATCACACCATGCAACAAATCATGGACGCTGCAGAAGAGATGGAAAGAAAGTTCGTTGCTAGCTTCCTAGAAGGGGAGGACCACGCCAAGGAAGGAGACTCTTCAGAATTAGCCAGAGCGAAGGTCGAATTAGTTGCGCTCAAAAACAAATTTGAAAACATGGCCTTTGTCTCTAGCCCCGTTACTTATCTAAAAACGATACCTGACACAGCCACGGGGCTGCCCGTGATGGTCGCCCCTACGCCTCTTCCGAAACTTCTCGCGAAACCAAGTGAATTAAACACAATACTGGAGCTGACCCGAACGTTAGTTAGACAGATGCAAGAGAGCAAGAAGGAACAGTGTGAGCACAATGCGCGGATAAAATCTATGATGAGATTGATGCGCCCTATTGCTGTTCGAGCTGCACCCATGGCACAGCCAGCAGCCCCCGCTCAGGCGGTGGGTGGCGCGGTGGCTAATTTAAACGTCTGCTACAGGTGTCACCAGCCCGGTCACCTAGCCAGGGACTGCCCCAACCGACCAGCTCAAGTACGGGTAAGAGTTGCCCCTGTCGCAGCAGCACTAGTAGCCAACGGGCCAAGAAGAGTAGGCACGATGATCGAAGAAACGGAGGGAGGGGGAAGCACGATGATTACCATCGAGGAAGCTGCGGAACTCATCCCGCTTGATCAATACACCCCGCTCCAAGTATCCTGAATGGCGGATTCTTCGGAACCCCCTCGGACCCTATATGAAGCCATCACCCCACTTCTCTCGAGATACAGTGACAAGAAAGCGTTCTGCGTCATTTCATGATTACCTCGTTCTCTGCTCTCTACAAGGAAAGAGGTTCGATTGCTGCGACACCCCTGGGTGTGGCAACCCATACGAACTCGGAATGAGGATTGCGGAAAAACTGGTAAGTTTGCAGGATATCAAAGACGGAGTAACACCAGAAGAGCGCGTGGCAATCCGGGACGCAGACGCCCAGATAGTCGCCACAACTCACATTTCGTTAAAACTAACATTTTTTTCCAAATTCACGAAATTGAGCGTAAAAAAAAACAACATTTTTTAGTGTTTTTTTGCCCCCATGACGTCGAATGATCAGATCATCGGGTGTCGTGGCGACGACACCCGATTATCTGACCATCGGATGTATGTTAACGGTACTTTACATTGAGGTACATCAGATGGACAAAGTGAGATAACCACTTCCTCACCCGATGAGCAATGAAATTTAGACCAAGTCCACTCTCGTGAATTTAGAAAAAAATCCCAGTTTTAACGAAATGTCTGTTCCACGGTGTTCTCCTGGCGGTTGGATAACTGATTCATTTTGGCTCCTCCGCTAGGAAACGGCAGGAAAGTGGACACGAAACAAGTGACGGTTAGCATACGCGAATAACTTTATGAGCTACATGTGCCCCAATACGTGCCCGATGAAACTCATTGACTTATCGTCGATATCGTAATCAAATATCAAAGGGCGATTAGTGTCGAAGATACAAATATCGGGTTGTCATTAGTGATTCAGCACGAAATCCAGACCGGAACATACCCACCAATCCACTGCAAGCCATACCGATATTCCCTCGCTGAACGAAAAACAACATTGGAACGAATTAGGGAGTTCGAAGCTAACGGT